CCAAGATCCTCCACGTGGATCCTCTGTTTAATGGGAAGAATTATACGGAGTTGACGGCGGATGAGATCGAGAAGCTGAGCCCTGAAGACAAATGGAGGTGAGGTGAATTTTGGGTACCTATATTCGTCATTACGGCGTTGTTCTGTTGATGATTTTTAAATGAATGAGTTTTATCGACGAGAGAAGCACACAAAGCTTGGGAATTTGTGAACGTCTTGGCATGTTTGTTAATGCGTGTAAATCATTTTTGTGTTACTGATTTTTTCTCCAAGAGTTGGTTCTTTTTGTTGGCTTCCCTCCTGATTGATTTTTTGTGATGATGACCTGTTCTGTTTCATCACAGCATTCTTTAAATTCACATAGCATTAATTCCAGGGGGTTGCCGCCACATAGTTGAATTTTAATTCCGCCACTTTCATTAGTAGCCGCCACTCGGGACGGGAATGTGGCGGCTAGGGATGAAAATGACGGAATTACCTTGGAAGACCTGGAGGAAACCCTTGGAACTAATGCCAAGTCGATTTCAAGAATTCTGAATGTAAAGCTGGGCTGCACAAAAGAATATTCTTCGAGATGGCCGCCTCATCTTTTGAGTGAAGAGCAGGATGCGGTCAGGGTGAAATTTGCCACAGAAAAAAAATTAATTAAAAATTAATCCCAACACACGGCAAACTACAGCAAAAATTGTTTCCCTGATGTGCAGTACTGTGGTGTGAGATTTTTAGGATAATTTTGCAAAAGACGTCGATCTCGTCGAGAGTTCTTCGAAGTTGAAAGTTTCTGTTGCTTGTGGAAGTCTTAGTTCGCTCGCGAAAAATTTAGAAAAGAAGATATTTATACTGTATACTGTATATGTTTACGCACAAAGTGATGAAAAATTTATTCCCTCCGCGTTTTTCCGCCAGGTACGATCATGTGAAAATGCATGATGTTCACAAGGGCCATGAAGCCATGCATGCCAGCATGGTGCTGGTATTGTTCATGACGCTGATTGTTTGTCAAGTCGGGCTCATCCAGTGGAGACAACGACATTACCGGTCTTATCAGGTGAGAAGAGTGAACGAAACACCACCCACTTCGTGTGGATAGATTTCAGCAGTTCTTTTTTTTTCTTTCTTCATTTTTGTTTGCAATTTTTATTTCAGGCCGTGACGTTGTTGGGCATGTGGCTAATACCGTTAGTGCTGTCTGTGAAGAACCTCTGGTGGCGATTCATCGCCATTTGGGTCGTGTTCTCCATTCTGACCGGATTGGTCATGCGGAAAGCGATGCAGAAACCGCTGTCTGGTACTACTCCCAGGTGAAATGCAGTTGAACTCCCAGGAAACCCGCGAAAAATATTGACTCTTGATAGTTTTCGAGTTGGAACAATTATCGTTTCTTCCCGGGGGAAAGTCTGATCATCCTCCCAAATTATAAAATCTAATGCTCAGGAAAACAAAAGCAATTTGGTATAAGTCATGCGAAACTGAAGTGCTTCAGTACAGTGGGTTCAGTTATTGAGCAACTTTAAGAACTTCAGTCAAACTTCAAGTCAAAGTCACTTGGACGGACCGAGAAAAAATGAACCGGGAGTTTTTGAATCGTAAGAAATAGTATTTCTGCTGCACAAAAAAATGAAAATTGCAAGAAGGTGAAATTGGTGATATGGGCTTTACTGCTGCTTTGTAAATGAGTTGACGGGATGCTGAACTTGGAGGCAAGGGTTCATTTGCCCAATTAGTCTCTCACTTCATTTTGGAAAGCCTCGTTAAATTTTTTTCTGGGTCAATAAAATAATAGCCCAAAGGCCCTTCAGTAAAATTGATTTCTAGGGTGAAAGCATTTGATTTAGGGATGTTTCTACAGTACATTGTTCTTGTGGGACGACTCGGGAAAGGTTCGACGCACGAATGTTTGAGTTATCAAGGTTCAACTGAGTAAATGAAGCCCAGTTTCCGAGAGATTCATCTTCAAAACGTTCATGTCCAGGATAACTACGAGAGTATGATCATCAGATT